ATCCATGCATTGGACTGATTTGTTTATGACCTTATCACACCTGAAATCAAGACTAGTGCAACAAGATAAATTGTAACCTTGGTTTCCTGCTTTTCCTGACATGGGTGGCATGGTAATCATTTGTACGGTTGCTCACCAGCTTATCTGTTCTGTCTTGAGGCATATTTCAGATCAAACTGTCTTTCTTTCATCTTAAACCAATCTACCCATTTTTTTATTTATAAGTCATATCCTTTCTCGCTGTTGATGCTCACTTTTTATTTTCTTGTTTTAGAGTGTCCTGTGTAAACCTGAGAAATGGTTCTCTAAAAATCCTATCAGACCAGTACTTTCTACAATATTTGTATCAGCCCATCTAGTCACCACTAATATGTAACATTTAAATTCATTTACAACCCATATCGTTCTTCTGATTCTTAAATTGACAAGTGATCTGATATCTAAATGTGCTAAATTGATGCCACATAAATGGCTGATTTGATAGTAATGTCAAGTAACTGAAATTGTGTACCTTACCTGTAGGAGCATGCAAACGAAATGTCCTAAGTCATTTTTAGAAGCACTCCATGTTCACCTTCTACATCAAAATACATGGTAAAAGTTCATAGTGAACCTTGTAAGAATTTTTGTGTCAAGCAAAAAGGAAAATATGAGGTTGCTTTTCGGGTGAGTAGAAAACAAATAGATCTGACAATGTAACAGAAAGACAATATTACAGTGTGATGAGACGTCTAAGAGTTTAGTTTTAATATGACAAGTCTGAAAGACCCTATTTTTAATTGACAGATTTTATCTTAGATAAAATATACTTATGACATAAATTTCCTGATGACATTGTAGAAATGGAACACATTTTGGTTGAGATTAACAGCAATAGTTCTCTTGTTATAATAAAATATGAAAAGTTTTAAAAAGAAATACATAAGAATTCTTTGAGAAACATCAGTTAAATTCGAAAGGAGGTTAAATCATGCAAATAAAAAGTGAGAGAAGTAGTAAAAAAATCCTGGAACACCGGTAGGAACAATTACTTTGAGAATTTAACATAAAATATAATAAATCACGCTAAATAAATTTTTCTCATGCCCAAGAGGCACGTCCAGAGTGCTTCAACTTTAAAAGCTTTGTGGCGGCTTCTTTTTACAATTGCTTTTACTATAGCCAGGAGAGGATGTTGAAATGCAGCTGAGACACAAACAAGGATGCATACACTTTGTCTAAGATGCATAAACACAACCAAGCTCTGAGACCTCTTGAGTGGTGGAGCGACACAATATTTTCAAAGCCTGCTGAATGATCTCTAATAGCTTCAAAAGATGCAGAAGCATGGAAAGAGATGATAATATTAGACGCTGAAAGCCTTGCCTGCTGAGAATCTTAACAGAAGGCTCTGAAAATGACTTGCTTGGTGCCATGTTTAGCTCAACTTTATGTCACCCATGTGGACTGCTGTACTCAAGCTGCACATCTGATCACCGACCATAACCACATAATGAATTAAACTTGGTGCTGCTCTGAACAAATATATAAAATGCATTTAATTCTGATGCTCACAGGAATTGTTAAGAAAATGTCAAGGAAAAACTGCGCTAAAAATGAACACTCACCCCTCCTTTATTTTCTACCTCCAGATAGAAAATTGTTATGGACAAAGAAAACAGAGTAAGACAAAATGCTGCTATTCTGAGTGGGCAGAGACCTTTGATCCTCTGAAAGTAGTGAATCCTGCTGAGTTTTGATAAAAACAACACAAATTTAGTTGTTTTTTGGTTGATGATAGTGTCCAAAGTAGTTTCTCCACAAATCTTTTCCTCTAAAAAACTGGAAAAATGGCTTGACATAACACAAGCATTCAATTCCCATGTTTATAACTTTATAACCTTAAATGGAAAATACATTTGATTAATAACAATTAAGCTATAAAAAAAACACTACTCTCAAAGAAGACATCTTACAAAATAACAGTCCAAATTTTAAAGATGTTGGTGGAATTAAAATGTATAATATTTTTTATTAATTTTTTAATACAATTCTTGAAATCACACCAATTTTAGCTCTCTGATGGATTGGCAAACTGTCCAGGATGTACCACTTGTATGACTGCTGGAGATGGCCACCAGTCCCCTATCAAAACACTGCAAAGACACACAGAATAGGTGGATGGATGGATGGATGGATGGATGGATGGATGGATGGATGGACACTAAAAGTTCTTGAAATGAACAAGATAAGTGAAATTTTGAGACGGACCTACAGAGGGTGCTTAACTGCGAAGTAGAAGAAAAATATAGATTTCTTTTAAATTTTTTACATATGAAATTTGAGAATTACCCTGCGACAGACTGGTGACCTGTCCAGGGTGTACCCCGCCTCTCACCCATAAACTGCCAGAGATAGGCAGTGTCCCCACCACGACCCTGATGGAATAAGCAGAAGATGGATGGATGGAAAAAATTTGAGAATGCATGGCATTCTTAGTACTCCTAAATTACCTAACCACTTCTAAACCAGAGTGACCAATTGCCATTATGGGCTACTGGTTTAATAGAAAGTGGCTACTGTCTGGGATTTAGTCCCAGTATAAATGCAGCAGGTAGAGAACATCAGTTCAACAACCTGAATAAACAGGGACATGGCCAATCATCCATATCATCCAAAAAATTTTTATTTTTTTTTTACAGATACAAGATCATCTTTAATGGGGCCTAGTCTGTTGGGATTCCTCAGGCTTGCCCACCAGAGGGTGCCGAGGATCCTCTTCTGTCTCTTGTTGTTGTCTTTTAGGACTGGAGTTACTGTTGGGATCTGGAAATTACCCCCTGTCTCCAGCAGAGTGCGCCATGGGTCTCCTTGGGCTGGAACCTTCCAGCACACCTGTTATGCATCTTCTCATCAGGAGACTTCCCCTTTATAAACACCTGCCAGACCTTGCTTCCACGCCGCAGTGTTGATCTTAGTTTGGTTAGCTACCTGAGCTTCTGTTACTGATTGAATCTTAGTTGTCTCTAGTGTGAGATCAGATTCTAATCTCTCCTTTGTCTGTGCCTCACAGGAAACCTGTCTCTAGCCTGAAGCTCTAGGTGAGCCTAACCTTCTAATCTTCCCTGGTGAGCCAACCTGAAGATTCCTATGTGGAATCAGCCTGAAGAATCCTATGTGGATATTCCCTGTCATTCTCTGCAATGAGCTGGAAGCTCAGATCAAGGTCTGCCATGCTAAGCCTGAAGCTAGACACTTAGCTTCTCATGAACTCTGCTAACCAACAGTCTCCGGTCCCAGTCAAGACTTCAGTGAACCAGTCTCAGAACTTATTTATGATCTTGTGTTCAGAACTTTTAATAAACATTTGAACTTTTCCCCTGCCTCCTCCGTGTGTGTTCTGCATATGGGCTTGCTCCTTTGATCCATCATGACATAGTCACATTCAATGTCAATTAAAAAAACAACAAAATTTTTACATTAAAATAAAGAAACATACACCAAGCGTTCATCCTGAAAGTGAATATTTAGTCCTTTTGGAAGTAATAATTTTTGTATCGGTGCAATTAGAGGACATAAGCATTATCTAAACCGGTTCAAGCTACTGGCATTGTCCATCCTTTATATTGTCAGTCCATCAAGCAAGTGCTCACTGAAAGGAAAGCTAAAACTGTCAGCATTCATATGTTATTTAATTTTATGTCTTATTCCTCTCAGCATCTGAAATCATTAGTGCTTTTTTCCTCTTGATCTATAGTATTACTCTTTTTTTTCCCCTAAACCCTGTGGGGAAATTATTTCCTTCATTACTTATTGCGCACATGTGCAATATCATACCTCTGGTCTGGTAGTCTTTTAAGGGTAAATACTGAAAACGCTCAAGTGTAGAATACAAAAAAAGATCATAAGCCATTAGTGCGCCATTATTTAAAGAGATAGCCTTTGCATGTAACATAAGTGAGCTACTGGCTTAAAAATTAGCAGTCATAATACATAACTGGGCCCCTTTAGGAGTCTTAAAGTAACTTGGAAACCTTTCCGTCCATCTTAAATCAAGTGTTAAATTCAAAGCCTTGCTCATGTTGCTTGGAAATGTTTCCAAGGGGGCACATGTATAAATGGGTTCAGACTCAAATTTGACACATACGCCTCTTTTCTCTGCTGCTCTGTTGTTGTTGGCTTTTAGAGGCACTTAGTTTAAGTTTTTTGGTGAATGAATGGACAGGTTTCCTGTGTGTACCTGTGGTCTTTACTTTAGGAACAGAAAAATTCCCTGTAGAGATTTTCCAAATGCTCTACTAAACACAACTTGATGATAAAATACTTTTAGATTGTATTAAATGTCCATCCATATCCTCAAACTGTGGTCAAGCATGACTACTGCAATAAGAGATAATGATCACACCAAACCTGTGACTGGTTGATTGTTCTCTCTACAGTAAGTTTCTGCTGCTGGTGAGATTTGTTTTAAAACAAATTATGTAGGATGAGGCATTAAAATGTGCTTAAACATGTAACACCACAGCAAGCCTACTCACCCTAAATCCTTTTTGTCTACTTTTTCTCACAAACAAGCCAGTGGGAAAAAACAGAGACATTCTGATTTAAAACAAAGAATATCCTCTCAAAGTAAAGGCCACCAAGGGAAAAGGGAGCTTTTACTTTGGCGTGACCGTACCCTTTTAATTTACAGAATAAAAAACCACAGTACACAAAGGGAATCTTTAACAGAACTATAATTATACCTTAATAATGCTCTATCCCATCTCTTTAAATTAAAGGAGCTATTGAGTTTAAATGGATTTCAGACGAGGACTGTGAAAAAATAAACAGAAAAAAAACACAGCAATTTCCTTACCATATCTGTGCCAACACTGATCCTCAACAGATTTTATGCTTTCAATCTTTTCACATAATTGTATCGTTTACATCTCCAAAACACAGCAACAAACATACCTGCCTACCCCTTTATGAGAAATGGCTTCATGTGGAGGTAAAAAAGAGATTTAAGGAATACTTACAGCATACATTTGACTTGGTCCTGGTGTTATAACTCGGCATGCCAAAATATTTGTCAAAAAGTAAGGGCCATCCATTATTGTCTCCTGAAAAAGAACAAAATAAAAGGCACATATTAGAAATCATGATTTGGCCTTTAAAATAGTTTTGGTTTAAAATAAGTCTGAAACAAACTGAAACACACCAGCAGTACACTTTGTTCTTAAGAAACAGAGATCTTCTTCCTCCTAGTGCAGCTGCCTGATGCAAAAGCCCCAACATTTCAGCTGTATTTTTGTCAGTTGTTTTCCTTTTATGGTAAAGTGTATAAATCATAAAATAATATATTTCAAAATATTAGATTGAAAACTATTAAAACCACAAATCTGGTCCTCAGAGCACATGTGTCTCTGCTCCAGCACAGCTAATTAAAGCTCTCTCCTCACCAGGCCATCAAGTGCCACAAAAGCCTGTTAATCAGGCAACTATTTAAATCAGTTGCTACTTTGCTGATGGAAAAAAATTTTTTTAAGTCTTATTTAGAAGAAATTAAGATCTGGTATTTTTCATTCAAGCCATTTTATTAATAACCTTGCAAAGGAGGACAGATACAGTTCTGCCAATAGTTCTGCCTGTTCTGAATCATACAGGTTTCCCTAATGTCTTAAGAAGCCTGCAAAAAGCCATGAAAGGTTTTCCCATACAAGTTTAAAAACAAGTTGCATACAGTGGGAGGACAACAGTAAAATTATGAAAGAACCTTGAGAGGATGATTGTGATCGTGTCATTATCTTCTGTTCTGTTAAAAACAGACTCAGACACTTCACAGTCTTGCAGATATGAGAGGGCCTGAGTGAATACTCTAATAAAGCAACAGAAATCAGCATTCCTATAAAAATATTATGAAGGGATCCCTAAGAGTTTTGATAAGACAGGAATGGGTGTCTGGGGTTTTTTACTATCAGTTCACGTTTTGAATAGTTTAGAGATGTTTGAAGAGTTTAGATGAGAGAAGGAAAGATGGGAGACTGAGGATAGCTGATTGAGCCAACTAGGAATAGGAGGATTTCACCTATATGGGAACATTTGGACATCAAGTTACAGGTTTTCTTTTATTAAGAGTAATGGCCGCATGTTTTTAATCATATTTAGATCCTTATTTAAGCATATTACGTGTAAATAATGTTTGTCTGGGAACCTCAAATCAGATCTATAAAAACACCACTCACCCAACCCTGCATGATTCATAGCATCTTGAGCGTCCTAACTTGCAGGTTAAAACACTCGCACCCCCAGCAGAGAGAAAGTACAGCTTTTGAAAGAAGGCTAAAATAATTAAGCAGATTAATTTTGAATAATTGAAATATTAATTGAAATATGAATACATTCAGTATTGGAGTACAGACTCTAAATCATGTCATAGCTAAAAGGGCAACCCAATCAGACTTCTAATTATACCAAGATTGCAAAATGTATATAAACATTTTGCATTGAAAATGATAAAAATTTTTATGCCCATCAATATGCTTTATCACAAACTTCTCAAGTGGCAAAGTTTTAGCTTTAACAAGGTTAAATTCTGCATATAATCTTTAAGAAACTTTTTACCATATTATTATTCGAATATTATTTCATTAGTCAAAAAAAAAAAAAAAATGAACAGATTAATCAATTAGTAAAATAATATGTCAGTGGCATGTCAGGTGGTTCAAAGCTTCATCTCCCCGAGTCACTCTGACCGTTTCCATAAAAAGGGGAGATAAATGCTTCTCCACCTAAAATAAAAAAAGAGCAAAGAACAAAGTAAATAGAACTTGGCTTAATTAACATGGCAAGATACAAAGGAGGATTAGGGATGAGACGGATACGGCATCAAACAAAATACAAAGAAACATTTTTTCTCAAAGAAAAAGTCAGTGATTAAAACCAAGAACTTCTGAAAAACTGTTATGTCTGAATAAAATCTCCCGTTTTGCACCAAATTTTCCAAGTTGCACAAGCATATCCATTGCCCTTTTTCAAATTCCATCAGCAATTTCCTCGTCTGCTTAAGCACATGACATTTCACATAAGGCAGAGAAAAACATACAACCTGCCCTCAAATTATTGTACTTTTCTTAGAAATTGCATACACAGAACACATTCAAAATGTTCACATTCACAACATGTGATAATCATATAAAAATAATAGTTATCATAGTTATTGATTATTTTTAAGGGCCCTAAAGGATAACGATACGTGCCAGAATTACAAGTTATATTGCTGATTGTACTGATAGCACATGGAGTCCCAGGAAATGATCGCTTTGAAGAAGAATTTGGTTCAAGGGGTCCAATAGCCTTTTTTCAATTGCCTCTCAAAAGCCTGAGGTCAGGCTATCATTTCCATGCACATTTAACAGGGTAAATTCACTTCCCCAGGGCTTTAGACCCTCTAAAGAGGCTATGTATATGTTTACTTGCACTATAGCACTGGTTAAGTAAAAGAAAACAGGCCTTAGAAAACAGGGTTTGATGAAAAGTGCAAAATATGAAGTATTCATTGCTTTGAAGTGTCTTTTTGTAAAACACATAACAATTATTTAAATTTTCAAAGACTTACTGCATTGCATCTTTCTAAGAGAACACTTTAAATATTTTTTTAAAAGAAAGTGCTTTAAGAAAAAATCTGAAGTGATGCAGCTTGTGCCCACTTGAAGGTTTGAAGATGGTGACATTTCTGACAAGAAAGGGAATCTGGTTGCAGAGGAGGAACTGCTCTGGTTGAAGTTCTCAAAATGGTCACTGAATTTTTCAAGAAGTTTCTCAATGAACTTAACATAGGAGGAGACACTTCTCTCTTCTGAAGTTTGATGTTTCACTGATGGGATGTGTGTGCGCTGTCCTTTTGGAAATCACTTTTGAAAATATGCAGTTTTTTCTGGAAAGACTGCACAACAGCAATCAAGTCACACACAGAGGTATTTTTTCCTTGTAATTTAAAGTTCAGTCCATTGAGCCATGATGTGGTGTCCACTAAGAAATTAAAAGCATCCATTTTCTCCATTATCCTCTAGAAACTATGAATTGGACAGCCTTCTGAGAGACTTAAGAAATGTTTTATTTGTTCTCTAAATGTCTAGAAACGCTGCAGAACTCTGCACGTGCTGGGCCATCTTACAATGCAGTGTAGTAATAGATCATCTGCATCTGCCTCTTTAAGAAATTCTCTAAGCAGGCGATGCTGATGTGCCGAAGATGCTCCGAGAACATTGACAACTTTTATCATTTTGCTCATGACTTCAGCAAATTCCTCTGACAGTGCAGAGCATAAAATGGACTGGTGGATGATGCAGTGGTATGCGCTTTAGGTCTGGATGGTTGGCTTTCATACGGGCCACAGCTCCCTTCTCTCCACCTGTCATGGAGGATGCTACATCTGTAGTGATGGAGACAACAAACTGCAGACTGCTTCCTCTCTTTCAGCATTTCTTTTATGGCTTGGTAAATGTCCTCTCCCCTTGATTGACTTTCCAGTGCTGTCACACCAAACATGTCCTTGCAGAAGTCCTTTCTCTCTGCATCATAAAATCTCACAAACATCAATAGCTGGCCATTGTCACTGATATCCGTTGGTTCATCAGCTTCTTATGCAATGCAATGTGCACTCTGAAGGGAGGTTTCCAATGCTGACAACATATCATCACCTAAGATTTCAGCTCTTCGTGCTGCTGTTGTAGCTGACAGTTGTTATTTGCTTTATTTTCTCTAGGATTTCTTCTCTTGGTTTGCCATCTAGTATTGTTTTTCTCCGTCTATGCAGTGAAATGAGATGCTGAGGTAAAGCTCGACTTGACCTGAGTTCCGACGTTGTGGGGTAGTAAGACACAGAGTGCAGCTCATTTTTCACTGCTTCCCTGCACTTATTGTACAAATTAGGGAGTGCTGAATTAGAGAAAACTTGTGGCCCAGAACTCTGAATTGAGGATCAAGGGTGGCGAGCAGCTGTTTGAAGCCAGGTTTTTCAACTGGAGACAACTGCAGCATATTCATTGCCATGGAGCATGTTACTGCATGGGTGATGTCCCTATGCCGGCTGGACAAAGAAGGAAGCCCAGTTTAGTTTGCTTTGCCTGCTTAGTTTTGGCAGAAGTTCCTGAAGATTCCTCTGAGGACCTGGAACCATGCCGGGGCCGACACAGCTCGTTCTCCATTGGGTTTGAGTGGCTTAGGTAAAAAGAACAAGTTGGTTGTGTTACCAGACTTTGTTTTTACCTGTTCCCTGCAAATTTTACAAATCCCTGTGGTTTGGTTTTTGTCTGACTTACTATAACCAAAATATTGCCAAACCGGGGAACTAATGCTAAGTTCACACCTATAGCAGCAGAGGCAGCAAGTTTACATGCATAATAAATGGTTGACGCACATGTTGGTGCAGCAAAAGGTCCAGCAGCTGATGCTTTTGCTGGAGTTGGAAAAATTGAACTTTTGCTGCTCGAACCGCCACATCAACCAAACAGAGAAGGTGATCTGGTAGCTGGCAGGGAGACAGACACATCGCTTATGATGTAGATCACTATGATCACTCTACTGAAACAGTTTATTAATTCCTAAATTAACTGATAATGTCAAAATCTGCCAGCAAAACATGTTCCCTTTTATTATCTTGGTTGCTGCATTTAGGATTACGCATGAGGAAAATGCTCACATCTTCTTCCAGCCGCCGCAAACAGTAGCGGCAATCTGTGAAGAAGCGACTGGACCAGAGACATCTGTTGAACAGGAGTCCTAGTGACAGAGAACCGCCGGTGTATGGAGGTCTGAGCGGCTCAGATAGCGAAACAAAATTTCTCAGGTGGACTTTCTCACCTAAAAACATTTAAATTGCTTTTTACCCGCTTATCACAGCACATATATCTGCCATTGTTACAGGCAATGAAAGGATAGGGTAGTTCAACCCAATGCGCATCAGACCCACTTTTCGACCGTGAAGCTAGAGCTGCAAAGATGCTTCAGCCGCACGTCAGAAATAAACTTGTACAAGCATCAAAAATGAAGTAGCATACGCCTTTTGGCTGCCCCTGTTGGGGCCTGAACGTAGCATGGAATCCTTCTTTGAGACATTTTC